GGTTCCTGTCTGCCCCCCTGCCCTTGGAAGAAAGCCTCTCTCAGCTTTGTGCTGACTTGACCTTGGCCTTTATCACTGCTGCTGCGGAACAAAATATTGAAATCCGGTGGACGGCCGAAGAATGAGCAGTTCCGTCTCAGAGGTCATGCAGCCAGACTGCTCCTGAGAAGCGAGGATGTCCCTCTGGAGACCAGTCCCTGGCAAAGGACATCATCTTGGTGACGTAGAGGGTGAACAAGAAGAGAGGAAGCCCCTCAATGAGATGTATTGACCCCATAGCTGCTACCACAGGCTCCGACGTAACAACAGAGGGCTAGATCGCGCCGGGCTGGGCAGCACTCTTCTGATGTCTGCAGGGTAGCTCTGAGTCGGAGCCAACTGGACAGCACTACCAGCCAGTGGAGAGATAATTGGATGCCAGTCAGACTCCCAAAGTGTTGACCCTCTTGAGCCTAGAGATTTAGGGTGTGATTGGGGAATCCCTCCGTATTTTGTGATGGTACCTGTGCAGGTGACCTGATGCTCTGCGTAGTGCTGTGTGTCACTCCCCCCAGCGGCAGTGTGGGTGCACCAGTCTTTGCCTAAATAGCCCCCTTCCAGTGTGTGGTTTGAATTTTCTTGCAGCGTTCTCTCCTGGGAAGAGAGAACCGGCAATGAAATGTTAAGAGGAACCCAGGCCCTGTTCTCCGCCTTTGGAAGAGAACACAGCTCGTGAGCCTTGCTGGGCGCATTTCCCAGGCTCTGCTACCTGCTGCGTGATGTGGGGCAAGTTCATACCTTCGCTTTGCCTCCGCTGTGGCTTTTGTGGCCATTAAATTAGTTAATATACGTTAAATGCTCAGCGGCAGCACCTGGCACCTGCTAGTTCTAAATCAAGCGTCCTCAAACTACGGCCCGGGTGAGGGCCACTTGCGGCCCGCCGATGGCATTTATCCAGCCAGCCGGGTGTTTTTGCCCTGTTTTGTTTTTTGACTTCAAAATAAGATATGTGCAGTGTGCATAGGAATTTGTTCATAGTATTTTTTAAAACCATAGTCCAGCCCTCCATTGGGTCTGAGGGACAGTGAACTGGTCCCCTGGTCAAAAAGTTTGAGGACCCCTGGTCTAAATGAATGGTTGCTACTATTGTTTGTATCCTTCTGGGGGCCAGGTAGGAAACATCCCAAATGGAGAATCGGTGAAGTATGTGAGAGGCAGTGAGACCGTCTGGGAAAAGCCAGTCACCGTCCAGTCAGTGTGACTCCGTGTTTGTCAGCGTGGAGCTGTGTTCCACGGGGTTTTAGTGGCCACTTCTTCAGGCCCCTCTCCGGAGCCTGCGAGGGACTAGCCGATACTGGCCTGGCAAACGTACAGTGAACCCTCGTTTATCGCGGTT